GAATGGCTGGATGTTGGAGGTGTGAGGACAGCCAGCTCCACTTTACCCCACAGCTGTCTCCTGAGGCAGCCTTTCTGTACCCCCTGGCTCCTCCTCCTGTCATTCATTCATTCAACTCATTCGTTCAACTCCTGTCATTCACTCATCCAACAAACATTTATAGAGCACCTAACCTGTGCCAGGCTCTGACTTTCAGTCAGGATGGAAGACGGCGTCCTTACATGGACACTTGGATGACTAAGGAAGGAACTTAGTAGGTGCCAAAGTGACCCTAAGGTAGGTGGCCTGAGGCCAGCAGGTGTCCTGTGAAAACAATGGCAAAGACTCAGGTTCCCAAACTGGGAGTCATATTACTGGTCTGCAGTACAAAATCACTGACAAAACATACCTGTGCCCATGAGCCAAGCATGCAGAGGGCCAAAGGTGTCTGCTGGCATTTCTTCAAAGAGGAAGTTTTGTGTGAGCGCTGAGCATGCGCACTTGTGGACCCCTGTCCTAGGCGAGGACCATGCCTGAGTTCTTCTGCTAGGAGATCCACTCTCTCTCCCAAATCACTTACCAGAGGCTCTGCCCTCTGCCCAGGCTCATAAAGATTTGAGAGCTCAGCCAGGTACAGTGGCTCAGGCCTGTAATCCCAGCACTTTGGGAAGCCGAGGCGGGGGGATCACGAGGTCAGGAGTTCGAGACCAGCATGACCAATATGGTGAAACCTCGTCTCTACTAAAAATACAAAAATTAGCCGGGCGCAGTAGTGTGCACCTGTAGTCCCAGCTACTCAGGAGGCTGAGGCAGAAGAATCACTTGAACCCGGGAGGCGAAGGTTGCAGTGAGCCGAGATCATGCCACAGCACTCCAGCCTGGGCAACAGAGCGAGACTCCATCTCAAAAAAAAAAGCAAACAAACAAACAAACAAACAAAAAGATTTGCGAGCTCAGAGACAGAGGAAATGCCATGTGTCTTCCCCTTCCGAGTCCCATGGGGCCAGAGCACGCCTTCCGCTGCCTTGGCAATGACAGACAAGCTGGGGTCCTTCCCCATGGCCAGCTTTGCAGCACTGCCCTCCTGGGAACCACATTCGGTCATTCTGTGGAGTTTTCACGATGGGTTTCATCGTCAGATTCATTTCCTCCATGGGACTAGACTCTTCAGCAAGTCACATTACCTCTCCGGACCTCAGCTTCCCCTCCTGTGAAACAACAGGGTGGAACTTAAGGGCCCTTCCTGTTTTCTCTGACAGTCTGAATCTGTCTTGTGCACGTACAGAGCCCAGCAATCGTGTCAAAGAGCTTTAATTGTGGGATGGAAAGAAAGGAACCTGTGGGATTTGAGGAGGGGACAGGTACCGCCAAATGCAGATGATTATTCTGAGGGCATCCTCGACAGGCCTGATATTGTACTCTGAGTTTATCTGCAGCCGCTTGTTGTCTGGCAAGTCCAGGGATGCTGTGGGTCTCCAGTTGGTTCTATCTGAGCTGCTACTGGGGTGGCAGCTCTCAGAAGTGTGGGACAGGATGTAGGCGATGGGGAGGGACCGGAATCGCATGTTCCCTGCAGGACATAGCGCACGACGGTGGTCTGGGGTAGGATGAAGTGTAAGTGCTCTGCTTCAGGCCAGCCTTGGGTGCGAGCCATCTCTGCTTAAGTTGTTCATAGAGTCCATAGTTTGTAGGGGGAGCTGCAAGAGAAACCAGGGTCCTGTTGAATGGGGCTTAGAGAAGGAGTCTTGCTCTAAATGGCCACGAGACTGGGCAGCAGGGGCCCTGGAGATTTTCCCAGGCTGCTCTGTCGGGCACCAAGGCCGGCAGAGCCCCAGAGGGAAGAAGCCTTGCAGAGAGCATTGGTTCAGTCAGCCCCTGGCGGTCTCAAGGTGCACCTGCATCCCAAGTGCTCAGAGGAGACCAGGCTCTGCCACGGGGGCCCTGGAGAAGTCAGCCCCCATGGTGAGGTTGTGCGTGGCCTCGCTGGTCCTGAGTAATTGTCCCACCCCTGTCGGGAAGGAAGCTGTGTGCATGGAGAGTGATGTTGAGAAGAATCCCATGCAAAAGTAATGCAAAGTGACCAGCAGCTCATCCTCTGACCTATGTCCCTTTGCATCAAAAGGTAGGACCACAAAGAGATGGCACTGCTTTGTGTCCTCATTAGGGTGGACGTGGCTTGAAATACAAATCAGATCAAGGCACTCTCCTGCAAAAATGCATTCCAGGTCTTGGGATTGTGGGTAGGACAAATTTCATTCCCTTCACTGTTCCCTGTGAGCCCCTACATGGCCCTCCTCCATTCCTGCCGTAGACCTTTTTCACTTTCTGTTCCTTCCTCTGGAATGCCCTCCCTATCGATCTCTGTATGGCTCCCTTCTTCCCAACTCAACTATCTCCTCAACAAAGACCATCCCTCACTTTTCCAAGGAGGAATGTGTGAACCAAATTCACCACCTCACCTTCTATCCATTACCTGTTTTCTCTCCATGGCACACATTCCTGTCTAAAATTATCTATGTGATCTTAAGTGTTCTTACTTTTTAGTGGTGTCTTATCTGTTTCCCCACTGGAATGTCAACTCCCCGAGGCCAGAAATTCCTCAGTGTTTGCTACCATTGCAGTAAGGAGCACTACCTGGGAAATATTGTCACTATTCATGTAGTAAATAGGACTGGGAGGAAGGATGTGTGGATGCGCTCCCTGCCACCTGTGCTCTAAGCATGCCATCATGGGGCACAGGTGATGGCTTCATTACACAGCCAAGATTATCCCGTATCAAGGGGAGAGCACAGGAGGCAGCCTGAGGGGACAATAGGACTCAGCCCCGACTGTGTCATCCACTGCTCTCCTGGAGCCAGGGTCACCTGTGAGGCTCCTTCTGCATAAGGCAGGTATAGCTGCATTGGTCTGTGCGCCTTTACAGACCAATTCAGAGGAAAACCCTGAATTATAAAAATACCAAGAAGGGGGAAGTCAGACTTCTCTGGCAGCCACAGCAACTTCTGTCCATTCCAGGTGCGGAGCGGAGGCAGCCCGGGGTTGTAACCATGCCGGTTGTAATGGTCGTCATAGGTGCTGATCAGGTAGCGATGTGGGGGTTCCTGGTGGTGGGTGATCAGGTGTTTGTAGGGGAGCCCCTGGAAGGACAGACACAGTGGGCTCATTACTGATAGGAGCAAGGCATCCGCCTGGCCATGGTGGAGACAGGAGCTGCCACATGTAGGGGTCTTTAGCGCTAATGGAGACAGTGGGCATCCATGGGCTGGCAAAAGGTCTTCAGAAACACACTTGTTTATCCCACTCTGAGGCATCCCACTTTCAAACACATCCCAGCTAGCTGCAGTCAGTTCTCTGTATGGCCGGTCCCATGCCAAGTCAATTCATTCCTAGAATGAGCTACGTTGGCACATTAAAATGAAAGCCAGGACATTCTGCTGAATGGGAAGAGTCAGTACCACCTCACTTGTGATCTGAAATTGCAGCCTATTTGTCTCAAGTCTCATGCATCCAAGCCTGTTCCTAAGGGCAAGGAAAAGATGGTGAAAGCCAGCCTGACGTGTGTGCCTTATATTTCAGTCTGTTACTGTGGGAAGAATCAGAGAACACCCTATAAAT